ATGTAAGGGTAACGCATCAAAACTGAAAAGGATTCAAAAGTCCAGTCACCAGAGCTAGCATATAGGAAGCAGCACAGGAGACTAAACAAAGGATCGCAGATGGGAAAAATTGGCATGAAAGAAGAGGCCAAAGCAGGAAGTTTCTGTTACTCAGGTTACTGCTGAGAAATGAGGGTGGAAATATTTACAGTGCAGAATTAGCAAGGGCCAAGGAGCATTAGGGGCAGGGATGGGCTGATAAAGAAGTGTGATGGATTTCTAGTCAAGATAGCAAAGAAATAATATAATTCTTGTAGCCATTTCTGAAAATTAAAGATACATTAGCAAAAAACATGGCTAGCCAAAGCCATGCTTAGTAGTCTACCTAACATGCCTCATGCGTAACATACAGAAATCATTAAGCAATTTATGGGAACTCTAACCATGGAAGGTGAAACTGATGGATTCTTATGCAGTGCATTCGATCTAGAACACGCAGACCAGGATGAAGCTATATTTGCTTCCTGGGCTGATTTATTATTTATTACCCATTTAGAGGCTGTTTTCTTGGCCATTTGATCATAAAGCTGTGTGGCCATCAACTACTGCAAACATAGCTAAGTTTTCTAGGTTTGTGGTTGTAAAAGGGTGAGAAATGATGTATATACTCCATTCTGGGTAGGAATCATCTCTTTCTAGTTAATATCTTGATAGAAATCAACTGGTTTGATATGTGCATTAGATCATAATGAAGACAAAAACGTGTGTGTGAAAATGTGAGAGAGTGACTAGTTTTTAAAGTTATTATTTCAAGTGCAATTATTTGTGGTTTGAAATAGTGCCAAGAGAGTAGGTGCTGAAGTAATGAAAGCCAGGACAGCAAAAACAAATGAAATATAGTATAAGTGGTTTCCTATACCACTTATACTTTTGAAATGCATGATCAGTTGCTGCATTCTCAGTGCTTTTGCTCAAATGAACTACCATGGAGTTGTTTTCTATTTTTTGTTTTAAATCTTTTCATACCTGCTCCATATGCATGTATTTCTAACTGCCTTTCGGTTTTCTCATATTTAGAATTACATGTTAAAACTAAGACAGGCATCTGTATGGACACAAAGGTACAGTTTTGCACCTCCTTAATGTACAATGCTACAAACAGGAAGAAATAAACAGAAAGTGATCTTGCAGTTGTGTGATTTTCACCCAGAGCTGAGAATGTGGCAGGATTCAACTATGCTATTCATTGGATTTTACTAACTATCTTTTAGTTGTGCAACCAGGAACAACAGTATGTTTTCAAGTGTCAATTCCATGACTCCACAAAATGTGTTGGAATGTACTACACTTGGGTCCCTGGGTATGCAGTTTTTTCATGATGTCACTGCATGCTCAGCAAGTTCATTTGACACTATTTAATTGAGACTACTTAAACTTCTAAGTGTTGTTGGGGAAAAAGAGGATCCATAAACAGCTATGTTCTGTTTCTTTCTCATCTTTTTACTGCACAATTTCCTATAAATACCATTTTGATTGTTAGGAATGATTCTGTGTTTTAGAGGAGTTTTGTGCTGTTACTGAGTTGGACTCATTTTTTTGCTGCACTGAGGCTATGCATGTTTGTCTACTCTGATTTATTCCATGTCTATTATGACTGACACTTAGGGAATGATTGGGGTAGATGAAAGATGCCATGATATGTTAATTCCTTGTTGGCGATTGTCATTTTTTTGCAGGCAATCCATCTGGTCATGCTAAAAAAGCCCTGAAGCAGCGGTTCCTCAAGCTGCTCCCCTGCTGCCGCCAGCCTAAATCCATCCCCTCAATCAGCGAAAGCAAGTGACACTTTGTGCCTCTTTATTTTTTCTGTGCTGTGACATTATAACATCCAGGAAGGGGGAGAAAGGATTCCCTCTGTATAGAAGTTATATAAAATCCTTATGTGATACTTTCCTTGAAGCAAACTTTAGATCAAATGTATAATAAGAATTATATGTTAGTAATACATAAGAAGATACAAAATGGATACCAAAGGCAGATTTTCTGATTGGAGCCACTTATACTGCACCATTGATTTGTGGCAAAACTGGGTTTTTGTTACCTTCTGCAAGCTCTTACTACAGTGTGCAGAACCATTATGGGAATGAAAATGGTGGATTTTATCCCAAGATAGTGGTTAATTCTTGCTCTGAGATGGATCCTTTCCTTTGCCTATCTGTAAACCAAGCTTTGTAGACAAGTTTGTTGTGTCATTGTTAACATCACACCAGATACAAGTTAAGAACATTCTTAATGTCCACAGTCAGCAGTTTGCTCAACTCATTACCAGTAATAATAGTTGTATGCTACTGCCAAAGACAGCATACTCTTCCAGGATGTTTTGGTGATTTGTGTAAAGTTTGAATAGTCCAAATGATAAGAAATGCACTGCTTTTCTCTCTACTCGTTTGATTTTGAAACACTTTTTAAAAAAAATTAGCCCCTAGGAAAAGTATTGTCTCAAGGAAGGGAGATGCGCAATGTATTTATTGTATATGTATCTATCTACACTCACACACATCCCTTCCATATATACTGTGGATTGAGCAGAAAGTACTGAAGATTGTCTTAAACTGAGAATGCAAGGGTTCTTCTGTAACTCTCAATAGCCTATTAAGTTCTATGCTGCGATTGACCAAATACCTCTGGGAATCTCACAGATGGTCAACACTATATCTTACAACTGTGTGTGATTTACAGATGTCAATATGCATAGTCGCTAAAGGTTAAGCTTTAGAATTCCACAGCTTCAGATTTCTATTTGCATATTTGGGTTTGAGTCCAGAAAACTGGTGGGGAGGGAAATGTGTAGTTATGCTTGTGTGCTGTGCCTCTTATATTTATTCTTTTGGCTATTGTGAATTAGTCTATGGTTTTACTTGCCTTGCAACTATCAGTAATTTAACAAAAAGACTGAATGTTTTTAATGCCTGAAACTTTCTACCCTCTGTCTTACAAGGTGACACACTTTGTTTTGTGTTTGCATTAAATCACCAGGAGAGTGTAGAGTTTGGCTTTAGTGCAGAGTTGGCTAATGTAGGAATATCTTTGAGGTGCAACAGCTCTTTGAGAATCCAAAGTATATTTGTGGCTTTGCTGCCTACTATAAGAATCTCTCTCCCCCACTGTCTTTGTAGATTCATATGCATTAGGTAGTCTAAAAACATTCCAGGTTTTTCATGTGTTTTCTCATCTAAATGAATGTAAATCCCTAAAGTTCTTATTGTACAGGAAGTGGCAAGCATACATTATTCATTTCTTGTGCTCATGGATGATAGGATAAGCCATGGTCTTCAATTCCCACTGATACCTGGCCTGAAATTTATTTTTCTCATTTTGATCCCTTTTAAACACAACAAGTAGGGGAGGTTGGTTGATACATACCTATTATGAATGGACTAGAGGTCTACTCTTCCTCTATTTCCTCTAGGCTATAATGTATCACTGGAGCTCTGGATTTCTGACTATGCTACTATTTTAAGACTGTATCTACAGAAAGTTCTGTAGCATGCATACATACATATTTGCAATATGCTCTTCTACTAGGAACTTAAAAGGGGACATCTATTCTTATGTTTAGCCAAGTGTAATGAGTCTTTTTGTGCCAATGTGGGGATTGGAAAAAAATTGAGTATCTTCAAGAGAAAAGAAGATGCAGTGAAGGGAGGGAGGAGGAGACAGAGGTTGGGTCTGTCTTACTATACTTCTGAGGTTCTTCTTTCTCCCTGCAGACAGTGTAGAGGATGAATTTGAGCTCTCCACTGTTTGTCATCGGCCTGAGGGTCTGGAACAACTACAGGAGCAAACCAAGTTCAGCCGCAAGGAATTACAAGTCTTATACCGAGGCTTCAAGAATGTGAGTTGGAAAGAATCTTCCCTTTCTAGCTGGCATTTCCTTCTTGTGTGATTTCACTCTTTCCTTCTTGGGTTGCTTCTCTTTTTAATGAAAAATATACATATTTTGAAAATAAAAGAGACTGTTTCCAAATTCATGGACAGAGAACTGTAAGTATTTGTATACTATATACTCATGTTGTTATACCATTGGTAGTTTGCTTATCTACATCCTAAAAACTTGAATTATTCTGCAAGCCTTTTTTGTGATAAGGTATTTTATCTATATTATCTAATCTAAGACCACATTCTGGAAACAATTTTTTCTCCTCAGAACCAATGTCCACATATAGATATCTGTCTTTATTAGGACTCCAGATAAATATATCTCCCCCTCTTTCTGAAGGTTAAACAGCATTCAGCTGCTCTTCATTTTACTTTATCCCCCATTAAGCATTTGGAGACCTGAGGAAGATCATGGTATGCAGGTGGAGAAGGGTTAATCTTCTATTTGCAAAATCTCCTGTTCTCTCTTCAGTTTAAAACAAGATGAAAAATCCACCTTCCATTGTTGCCAATTTAGTTTGGAATTTTTCAGAACATGATGGGTGAATTTTACAGAGGAAGTGGCAGCTGAGGGGGGAGGCATAAACCTCCCCTCTTGATTTTAATCAACATAATCCCACACATGCACAACAGCATAAGGAAAAAAAACCCAGAAGGATAGCTGCCTGCTATATATTTAACACATCAAATTGGTTAGTTTGAAGACATTATAAAACAGCATAGAATGATAATTATTATAGAAGTGGCTTTGTGTCATTTTCCACACAGAGCTGCAATTATACCATTTGCCTTTGAAACACTTAGTTCCATGTAATTCAAAGTACTTAATTTCTTCCTCCATAGTAGAGATACCTTTTTGCAGTTTGGATAATAGACATTATGGCTTCCTTTGATCCTGTACAAATACTCCTTGTTCTTGTCATGTTGGTTATATTTTGACTAGAACATTCTCTTATATTAATCTTCCCCATCCTGGTATACCCCAGAAGTATGATTCCCATCATTTGTTATCAGCAGGTTGAATGAAAAAAAGGTAATCTGTATCATTGTAAATTGTTAGATACAAAAAAAGGTGGTGACAATATTTTCTGTACTTAACAGTTTTTTATGCATATGTGCCTTTGAGTCAGTCTTGACTCCTGGTGATTGCCTGAACAAGTTCATGCAATTTTCTTGGGCTGAGAGAGAGTGACTGGCCCAGAGTCACCCAGCTGGCTTTGTGCCTAAGGCAGGACTAGGATGCAGTCCCCAGGTTTCTAGTCTGATGCCTTTAAACACTACACAAAACTGGCTGTTCAAGATATACAACAAACACTTCCTCTCTCTGTATACATACAACACTCATAAACATAGCTCTGAAACTTCAGCCACTAGCCTGATAGGTAGGTAGGTGGACTGATTATGTGCAATTAACTCAATGTTGACTTTCAGGGACCCCACAGATAGATTTTCTCTAGGATGATTTATTCCCCAACCTAATCCTTTGGGTCTTCTAACAGTGTACCCATTGCTGCTGTAATGGGGTTCATCCAGCTTGCTGCTAGCTGTCCTCTTTTTCTCTTTCCTTATACTTTTCCTAGCAGTATAGAGTTCTTAGGAGAACTAGGTCTTTATATAATGTGCCCATGTCATAATTTGAGCTTGGTCATTCTGGTTTGAGAACTCTGAGTTGATTTGTTCAATTATTCATTTCTTTTCTTGGCTATCCATGGTATTCTCAGAAATCTTTTCCAACACCAAAACCATCAATACTTTCTATCCTACTTCTTCAAAGTCCAACTTTTGCCTTCATAGAGTGTCACAAGGAAAACCTTTGCACAATTCTGATTTTTGTAGGTACAGATATATCATAGCATCTAAATATCTTTTTCAAGCCTTCATTGCTATCCTACCAAGTTTGAGAACCAGTTTGGTATAGTGGTTAAGGGATCAGGCTAGAAACCGGCAAACCGTGAGTTCTAGTCCCACCTTAGGCATGAAGCCAGCTGCGTGACTTTGGGTCAGTCATCTTCTTTTAGCCCTAGGAAGCAGGCAATGGCAAACCACTTCTGAAATCTTGTCAAGAAAACTGCAGGGACTTGTCCAGGCAGTGGCCAGGAGTCAATACTGATTTGAAGGCATCAAAAAACAAACAAAAAATTCTTTTTCAAGCCTTCACTGCTATCCTATCAAATTCTAGTCTGCAGCATATTTCTTGACTGTTGGGTCCTTTGCTGTTAATAGTTGATTCTGAGAGACAGCAGCTATCCACTTCAGTATCTTCATTGCCAATTCTAAGGTTGGTTGCTAAACCTTTTGACATTAGTTTGGCCTTCCCATTTTTTCACTGCCAATACCCTAGGAGATAACTAGTATCCAAGTTCTCCAAAAGGTGAAAATTCTTCTTTCTGTTATTAGTTTGATGGGGAAACTAAAGTCAGCTTCTCAAAGGTTTTACTGATTACACTACATGCCACACTTGGGATATTGTAGATTAGCTATCCCAACTAGTGAACAATGTACACTTTTCTATACACTAGGAATGCCCTAGTGGGATTGTTAATGAAGAGAGCTTCAAGCAAATCTACTCACAGTTCTTCCCACAGGGAGGTAAGTCCTTCATCAGGAGAGCTAATATTTTGGAAATGTTGCAAGGCCAGGTAAGGACAGTAGCCTGGCTGTTTTTGGAAATAAAAGGGGATATTTGCATGAGAGACTTTACATTCTCATCTAGTTATAGTTTCCTTACCTTCAGTGCCAAACATATATCCCTGGAATAATCCTCTGCCTTCCCTCACAGGATAAACACAAAGTAAAACGTGAACACTGTTCATTGGATCATACATCAAAGGAATACTGGCTGTTGTTCAGACAACTGTGGCACTTTTAAATATGACCACTTTCTTTGCCTAATGTTAAATGGATATTTTACTTATTTAGAAGGTGTATATAGTTGTTCAACTCATATAATCATGTCTTCGGATAGTGTTTATCAAATATAAACCAAACAAACAACAATTACAGGTAAGAAACCATACAGAATAGTATGTTATCCATAATGTAGCACTGAGTTAGGGGCAACCAAACACACACTCCATCTCCAGAAGACAAGCTCATCAATCATCCTGGCCCAATACCTGGGACTGAAACCAGGTTTTAAAGCTTTCCAGAAGGCTAACAGTGTTTGGGCCATCCTAATCTCAGAGGGAGGGATAATTTCAAAGGGTAGACATTGCCACAGAATAGGCACAATTCCTAGATCCAGATGACATTGCCTCATGGAGAGGATCTGGAGCTTGCCTATCCTGTGAGAGTGGATGGGATGGGCAGAAATGGTCAAAGGCAGGTAGTCCTGCAAATAACCTGGTCCTGTGCAGAGAGTAAGAAAGATGACCTTAACAGAGATATGAAGGAACCATTACCTAGGCAAAACATGCTGAACCATTTAAGTCCAGAATGTTTAGATAACATCTTGAAGCAACTCAGACATCTCCCTAATTTACTGAACTATAAGAAGGAGGTTAAGGTACAATACAATCAGACTTGCAAGATTCTGTTATTATACTCAGTCTAATAAAAGTAGTTTTAACCTTTATGTAGAGCTGATTGCCTGGTCTGGTCTACCTAATAGGGCTAACATTAGTCTGGTCTACCTAATGGGGCCCATGTAGGGCTTTATAGGTGATAAACAGCACCCTGAATGGCATCCAGAAGCCTATTGGGAGCCAATCTAGCTCATGAAGTAGTAGTGCACCCATAACTACCCATAACACCCCATTCTGGACCAATCACAACTTCTGGATGGTCTTCAAGGGCAGCCCTAGGCTTTGTTTTGAAACCAAACTTCGTGATTATGTTTTACAGAACAATTCTGTAAAAGTGGTGCTTGCTATACTATCCCCGAACCCTGAAGGCTTGCCATAGCTAGAGGCTTTATTCCCTTTTCCTTTAACTTTCCCTTAATAAAGGGAATTTATTATGCCAGTTCTAGGCTGGCATAACCATTGATCCATATTTAGAAAATGAGGGATTTAAGGTGTTCCAATTAGTCTTAGAATACTGTGTTCTCAATTCTAATGGAGTACCACCAGCATAACCAGAATAGCGGTGGAACTTTCAGCCACTGCATTGGGAGACCTCTAGTTGTGGCCTTTGTACTTTTTTGTTTACTTCCCCTCTGACATGTAAAAGATAGTACACTATATTGCATGGCTCTCTCAATTACTTTCACAGAAAGTGAAATAACAGGATGGTGCATTGGTTGCTGATAGAGTTTTAATAGTGCTGTTTTACTACTGCTCACTAATTATTGCTAGAATTATTGTTAGAATTGTTATTAATTTGATATGCATTTGTATTAGTACACTCCTTTGCATATACAAAGGTGGGGGATAAATGTTGAAATTAGTATAGCTTTTGCATCTAAGAGTGAGAGACCATCATGTTATAACATCGACAACTTCAAAAAAGTTGTAACTTAGCTATTTTCTCTACTTCTTTCCTGACAGCCAAGTAATTTGATAAAATCAGCTAAAATATGCATATATGATACTTCCTCTTACTTGGTTTGATGTATCTCTTTTTAGATTCTAGTACATATGCAACTTTTCTTTTCAACGCATTTGATACTGACCATGATGGCTCTGTCAGTTTTGAGGTAAGATTCCACATATTTATTTATATGTGAGTCCCTATAACACAAAGTTCTCTGGGCAAACTACTGAATAAAAGCAACTCTACCTACTCTTGTTAATTATGTATTTATTTATCATACATAATGATACCATAGTGACTTTGGGCAGCAAACAGCAGTTAAAAACAAAAGCCACAACAAAAAAATAAAATACCTAACTGTCAAGATAAAAACCAGTCAAACAGCCGTTAAAATAACCATCTTACAGGCTCTGACAATATGACCCCCATGCCTGGGAACACAACAGGTCCTTGAGAAAATCCAGCAGGGTTGGGGCCAATCTGTTATCTAGGGGAATGATGTTTCAAAGGAGAAGTGTCATAATAGACAAGGTTCTTTTCCTGGGGCCTGCAAGATGGCACCCCTTAATTGACAGGACTCATAGCATGTCTCTTCTGCCAGATCTGATGGGGCAGGTAGAAATGATGCCTAAGGATAAATGCCTTCTGCAGAGTAACTAATATTATTGAGGAAATGTCATTTCTCTTAGCAGTTATAGCCAGGGCTCTTATAGACAAATTGAAGCACAAACAACACAAATTTGCAAGAAAGCAATAACCTCCTCTAACCTCACTCCATAAAGATGGGCTGCAATAGGATTTTACACCAACTGCTGATGGAAGTTACTTTGGCCTCCAGGAATGTTATGTGTTCAAATAAATACCATATCTACAGTTAGAAAAACTTTTAAAGGAATAAGTACTTCTGTACTTTTGAACCTTGTCATTCAACTAATCATTGAGGCCACCTGCTGGTACTAACAAAATCTGTATTTCTGTGCCTCAGGGTTTAACACATGACAGAACACATATTTGAAAAGGGATGTTTACCACTGACAATACAAAAATAGGACAAGAAATTGTGTCACGGATTTCCAACAATTCTAATTAGAGAAGATGTTGAATATAATTGCCCGTACCTGTTTTATAAGTATTAAACTACTGAATATTGAGCAATTTTATCTTCACCAGAATGTTCTCCTCTAAGGAAGCCATGAATAGAATCTAGCAGTTTGTAGCCACTGGATCTACCCTACATTCCTGCAGCATATATTTTATTATTTATTTATTTAAAACATTTATATAGCTGCCCATCTTATATTGAACTCTGGGTGGATCCCAACCAACAATTAAAACATCAGCAATAAAACAACGTAATACATACATATATCTATTAAAACCTCAAACATTAAAAACCTGGCACCAAAGTTAAGCTTCCACATGTCCATCGTTAAATCCTCTCGTCCATCTCACCCTATCCTGGTGCTTGGGGGGAAAGCCAGGTCTTATATCACAACTGCAGTAGTGCTTCGGCTGTATTTCATCCTTTCTTCACTTCCTTGTCTCTCCTGCAGGACTTTGTGGCTGGCTTGTCCATTATTCTCCGTGGTACTATAGATGATCGGCTCAGTTGGGCCTTCAATCTCTATGATCTGAACAAAGATGGCTGTATCACCAAAGAGGTACAGACAGTAGAAGTCAGTAGGGCCAGAAGATGATGAACTTTGCTGAATTTTCTTCAGTCACAATTCTCTGGCCCAAATTGGCTAATAATTCTTTTTGCATTTTGACTTTCAGGAAATGTTGGATATAATGAAATCCATTTATGACATGATGGGCAAGTACACTTATCCAGCTATGAGAGAAGAGGCACCCCAGGAGCATGTGGAAAATTTTTTCCAGGTAAGCTAGTATCAGGATATTTCCATGTCAGTATCCCACACTTCACCTGTGAAAACCTTTTCATGGCCAAGAGTATGAATTATTTTGGTCCACTTTTGGAAGGACAAAGCCTTCATCTTCCTCCTCAAATTTCCTTTTACTTTTGGTTCCTTCAATGTAGGCCCTGCCTATAATATAATTCCTATAATTATGTTATGAATTTCTTTACAACTTGAATATTTCTGTCTCCTTAAATATTTTCAAAATAGCATTAAGGAGATATAGAGCCATTTTCTACTGGTGGTGCTTTTTAAACCACAGACATGTCACCAGACCAGTTGCCTTTGGGCTGGAGATCTGTGTTGAGTTTAGATATTATAGGGTGTTTCTCTGCATCTGAAGATCCTCCTAGGAAATTACTTTGCTTCTTCTTCAATTTTCATTTCCATTTCAGAAAATGGATCGGAACAGAGATGGTGTAGTGACTATTGATGAATTCATTGAGTCCTGTCAGAAGGTAACACCATTGTCCTCCTGGCATCGTAATTCTTTATAGCAGCGAATAAGTAAAAAGTGCACAGCCAGTCCTATTCTTTGCTCTACAGATGAGAACTTTTTATCACCACCATCAAATCAGTTAGATCAGGATGTGATATTTCACTACTGGCACTAGATTCATATTACTATTCCTGTGGTGCAATTAGGGGAGTGGGGTGAAGAAGAGGTTGGAAAATACCCTTTCATCCAAGGTAGGTTGTGGGGAAATAGAGTTGAAACATCATGTTTAATAACAGTAAAGCTACACCTTAATTTCCCCTTTTTCTAAGGCCTTGATGCCATCTTTTCTCTGGCAGGATGAAAACATCATGAGTTCCATGAAGCTTTTTGACAATGTGATCTAGCTGACCACACCTGGAGCCAAGACCATCACACACACACCAGGGCTTCTTTCCTTGGCGTATCCTGAGGCACTCTTCCCTTGGCTGCATGGACAAAGCAGCCCCATTTTGTGGAGACAATCCTCATGTATTCAAGATCCAACTGGGGTGGGATGGGGGAGTCCCTACAATGGGAATCAAGTGGGAGTCTTTGTCTGGATTGGATAAGGCTAAGCAAGGAGTGTGTCCTAGAATTTACAAGCACTTATTCTGGGAAAATAACTACAAAATGAATCAACTTGTTGCCTCCCCAAAAACTGCACTGACCTATCAATATATAATGTGCTTATCCATAGGACTTCTAAAATCACAGCAACCCTATGATCCCTCATTAGGGCTTTCACACTCTCAAATGGCAATGTAAGCATCAATTGCTAAGAACTCTTGTAAATGCACTCCTACCTACAAGGAAGGGAGTCTATCTGATCTGAACCAAGGTTCTCACAGCACATGGGGTAATATTCTAATGCTTCCAACAAGTGGAGGCAATATTTTTCAGTGTCAAGATATATTGCAATTCTGCTGCTACAATTAACTGAACTCTTAGCTATTCTGGAGAAAACTGCAGAAGAACGCTATTTCGCTTTGAGAATTCTTTTGTTTGCATCCACAAAAAAAGAGTGGGTACTTTGTATCACTCAAGACCTAGGTGCAAAAGAACCATTAGCTTTTGTTTAGAAATTAGGGGATAAATTAAGAATTATGTTGGGATTGCTAGACAGAGCGCTTAGCCAAATAATTGGGTCAAAGATTTTCACTGCTCCCTGTCTTAGTAAATAAGGTGAAAACAGAACTAGAAACAAGGGAACTTACTTAGTGGAAATATTTAGGTCAGAATGGAATCTAAATCTGTTTCTATGTGACCTCACTGGATGGGTTTCCATGTGGCTCCAGATGATGATGTTATATTACTTTTAGTTACTTTCTACAGTTAGATTCTCTACAGAAGTACCAAGAGCTCCAGCTTCCTTGAATGAGAAACCAAGGGATCAGCTAAGAGTTTTGAGTAGCAATATGCTTAATGCCATGGTAATATCCATGTATGAGGGCTCTGGGCTCTTGTGGTATTAGTCAGGGCAGAATTCAACCTTGTGCCTTGTCTCTGAATTATGTGAATAGACAGATTACAAACAGAAGTATCATTGGAGTGGAAGAGAAACCACATGAGAGAAGGAAAAAATCTAGGGGAAAATAGGGGGAGATATATCTGGCTGTTCCTTTCCTGTGTCAACAATCTCCTTTTTCTGCAAAGGAACTTTCTCTTAGCACTTGCAGAGTGCTATTTCTGTGATTTTGTTTGTTGGTTTTGTCACTACAATATTACCATGATAAACAGCCTTTGGGCCCTTCAGTAGCCAAAGCATTATGAATGACAAGCAACTTCAGACCATGCTTTGCTCCAAAGGAGTGCCAGGTTCTGTACTGAACATAACAGTAATGCAGCCATGCTAAATAGCCACAACAGGGATGCAGTAAACAGACAGTAATTGGGAAGTGCTAGGGAAAAATCAGTATTAGTAGAGGAACAAGTGGATAAAACTTAGATCATTTATAAAACACTTCGTTGAAAAAAATAAAGCCTTTTTAAGGGTTTAAGTAAAAATAAAAATAAATACAAGGGTGCTGATGATACAGAAGCTGTGTAAACTCAAGAGTACAATATGGAAACTAAGTAAAAGAGGAAGAGAAGCAGTCTGGAGTAAAAGTATGAGGAAAGAGTAGAACTTTAACATTGAATACAACATTGACAAGGGTCAATTTAAGGAGAAATGTAATGTGACAAGAGATGAGACTACTTGAGACATCCTGAATAGTCTGGAGGGAAGACGCCCAACAGGAGGGAATGAAGTAATGAAGATATTATATTGAATCAAGACAAGGGGTATAGGAAAATAGGCAGGCTTTATTTAAATTCAAAAAGAAAACAACCATGAAACCAAACAACATGAAAGCAACCATGAAAATTCTAACAGAGGCAAAGCTGAATCATAACAGACAAAGAAGATACCAAAATATACTGTGTTATCGATACATACTAGCCTTCCCCCAAAATGATGCCCACAAATTGGCTGGGCTACGATACATCTGAAAATAGTGTTTTGGGAAATACTGTTGCATCTCAAGAGATCAAGTAAAAATCTAATGGAAGAGACATGCTAACCTTCCCCAGCCTGGTACCCTGTAGAAGTGTTACGACTGCAGCTCTTAAGAACTCCTAGTCAGCATGGCCAAATTATAGAAGTTGCAGTCTTAATACATATGAAAGGCACTAGGTTGGGAAGGATGCAACAGCTAATAGCTAGATGGCACAGATGACTATTTTTCATCTTAGCTCCGTTGAAATAAACAGCTTGTTCTAATACACAAATATTAAATTTAATCCACATTTCTTCTTTAATGGCAGTCTGAATTATACTCTGCTCTGATATCTCCTCTTAATAACCAGCCCTGGTAACTTCTGATGTTTATTTTTCAGTTTCAGATTTTTTTTTCAGCTCTTAGTAAGCATTAAGGTACCTTGTCACACAAAGCAAGATCCAAGGCTTTCTACTATAGGAACTGCAAGTGGAGTAAATATTTCAGGACTCCAACAGAAGTACAGGAAATAATGGAGTGAGTCTAGAAATGGAACTGGCTGGCTCAGGATTTATTAGCTATGCAAACAGACTCCCATGTGCACTGTAGCCCAGATATGGCTCTTCCCCTTGCTATTTTACATTTTGCTAATCCATTATGCCATCATTTCTAGATCCTCTTTTATGTATATTGTTAAGGATCACTTAAATCTAGTTCTGAAGACTAGGGCAGATTCAGTATCACCCATTAGATGTTTTATTTTATGTGGGACTAAATAATAGACTATTCCATCATTTTAAAAGGTTATTTTACTTTGGCATATATATACTTCCACCTGTGCCTCCAAATGAATGTAACTAGTCCCACCTTACTTTAATTCTCCTCAAGAACATTCCTTCCACAAAGGGATTTTCTTCAAAGAAACAGTTTCTTAATATTATGTAATTTTCTCTTGTGAGAAAATCTATTTTGCTTACAACACATTTTCTTAGCTTCCATACTTCATTTCTGCAATCTTCAACATTTCTGTTCAACTAACCTCAAATGGAAGGCTATTCAAATACTGTCTTTTAATTCCCAAAGGCCTGCAGAAAGAGCAGAGGTGGGGGAGAAAAAATCACTTCAGTCCCCAGACTATCCCCAATGGCCACTCAGGTCAGCCAAAATAATTGGTATTGCCTTACTATTCTCTGTCTCCTTACAACAGTTGCCTAAAGAGATATATGTTGCTAAAATTGGTATGTGATGCCATTGGAAATAGCTGGTTCTGTCTAGTGACCATTCAACTTAATATGCACAGTATATTACCATCATACATAAGTTTTCCATACTGCTATGGACAGAAATGTCTTGCTGTGGTATGGAAGCTCAGCATAGTATGGGGGAAATGTACACTTTATGCTCTATGCTCAACATGGAGAAATGTCATGTGGGGGGCAGGATATTTAAATTGGTGCTGATAAATATACCTGGGGCAAAATCAGATGAGTAGCCTTTCTGGCTGTTCCCACAGAACAGTTTTCAGTATAACAGCCAAATGACATTTCGGTGAGAGGAATTCCTCAACCAAGATAGATAGAAGCATGGCTGCTATATATCATTCCCTTATAATACTATCACCAAAATAATTTATGCTTATTTTGCCTAAACTAGCATATGCTTTTTATTCACAAACACTCAAGATGGCCAATACATATAAAGCCCAGTTCCCCATCCAACTCATCACAGTCTTGCCTTCTCTATCAATTCAGCAGGAGATATTTTTCCACTCCCAAGGAAATAAAAATCCTATAACTAAAAACAAATCTGGACTTTTAAAATACGTATCCTATTCATAGATAGAGAGGGGGTAATGAAGTAATGTGCATTGTGATGTCATAATGCAAATACCACAACTTGTGTCAGATACTGGACCTTAAGTACATAATTGCAAGATTTATGTGATGACACCACTATGCACTTGTCATCATTTTGGCATCATCACAGTTTGTTGCACACACAGGTGAGCTAATTCCTCTATTTTCTCTTAATTCAGATGCAATTTTAGACCCATGGGAAATTATCCTGGGAGCAAATAAGGAACTTCACACAAATTTTCTCATCACAAGGAACTCTACAGTCAACCCAGATCTTTTACCATAATGTTAAAATAAGGGCTTCTATACCCTTTCTGAGGAAGCAATTCCCCATGCAAGGGTATTTTACATTTGAAAATAATGTCTTGGGCTATATATGACATTTCAGTTTGAATGCAGATTGTCTTCCTAACATCCAATTAAAGTAAGTTTTCACAATTATAGATGGTACAATTTATAAATTTACCCACTATCGCTCCTGTAATGCATGTTTATGGGTAAAATAAAGAGTTTCAATTTGCTTTAGAGATTATGACTACATGAACCAATTATTCTATAAAACATGATGTCAGGTGCCCTTCTCATTTGGCATTACATTTGCTATTTTTCCGATCATATTGGCTTGATTTGATTCATAACTTGACTCTGCAAAACTTATATAATTCCTTCCTAATTTGGTGCCTCCAGATGTGTTCAGGTTTTATCACTGCCAGTCAGCAGTCCGCTAGACTAGAGAGGGATGATAGGATTGATAGTTCAACATATCTGGAGGGGTTAGTTTGGAAAAGTCTGCTCTAATCTATCTTTCATCTTGACATATTGGTTCAATATGTCTCCGTCCTATTTATTGATTACTGCAATTACACTATGCCTTGAGCAGATATTAAATACATGGGTGAGGCTATATTCAATTCTAGAAGTTGGAGACTGATGATGCTGTTCATTGTTCCTTCCTTACTCATATACCAGCTGCTTCCTTCTACCTGTGCTGTCATTACAATCAATAGTGGGGGCCAAACAGCCTAATTCCACTGCACGAGCTCTGCTATCAGCTTTGCATTTTCATCTGTGTATATTTTGTACAATAACAATCAGATATGACAATAAAATGCACCCCCAATGGCTATGCACAAACACCATGGCCTCTGCTACTGTTGCTTTGCTATGTTCTTTTCACAATGAGTTTTGGGATATAATGTGCTTCAAATGGAATATATGCTCTTCCCTTTTACTCTTCAGTGTCCCTTCCATTGAAACATGGTTACTTCCACCTTAGCTCATCTCCCTGTTTCAGTATAAGGTCGTGAGATTTTCTAATAAAAAGTCTGCTTTCAAAAGTATAGCACAATACAGTATAATCAATATATATAATCTATCTATCTATCAATAATATATATACATTTATAGATATATTATATATATATCCCGGTAATGAAATGTTTGCAAGAAAAGAACCAAGCTCAGAGAACCCCAAGGACTCCACAATTA